GTAATCACATCAAACCGGGCTGGGCTCCCCAGCGCATCCCCACGGATCCAGGAGCCCTGCCCTCGCCAGTGTCCCCCAGCATCACCCTGCTGATGGGAAAAGGTGCCCTGTGCACGCTGCCGCAGGGATGGGGTTCCACGGGTACCACTGGTGCTGCCAGGGCTGCAGAGCATCACAAGGGTCTAACCCCAGCCAAGCCCCAACAGATTAGATAAATGCAACTTGGAGGCTTAATTAGCCAAGCTCAGCAGAGACACTTACCCAGACAAGGCAGCAGCTGGGTTGGGGATGGACATGGAGCCCACAGAGGTTCCCATCCATCATCTTCAGGGACACACATCTTCCTTTGGAGCTGCAAAGCCAAGACTGCTCCCTGGCCCAACACCGGCAGTGGCAGAGCAGCCCTTCACCACGTCAGCAAGGCCAGGGCTCTCTTTGGCCTGCAGATACATGGAGTTGGGACAAGTTACTTCATCCCTGTCCCCTCCTGAGCACAGCTTCAAACAGCACCATGCAACCAGCCCTGCAGTGTAAGCCCAAACCCCAGGGAAGAGCCAGCAGCGCTTTTGTTTTACCCCTGATGAGCCAACCTGCAGTGTTAATCATTGACTCAGGTGCTTGGTGGGGAAACCCTAGTGGTCCTGGCTGATCCCAGCTCCAGAGCCGGCCACGTTTGGGTGCATCACCCAGAGATCCTACATAGGAAGGCGAGTGATCTGTGGTGCAGGGAGCGGGGGGAGGTTGAAGGTGTTTAGTGGGGATGTGGCTGCTGGTGCTGGCCAGGATGGGCTGGGTGAACTGGTCCTCATGGTGGCACTGATGCAGGAGGACCTAAGTGCATGGCCTGGGGGCTACCACCCCACAACCCTTATTCTGAGCCCATGCCAAGCTCTTTGCTGTGTAAAACACTTTCCAGAGCAGTCGCTCAATCCATGGTGGGCACTGAACCATCCCCAGGGGTGCTCTGGGGCTGTTTGGTCACAGCGCTGGGACCTAGCTCAGCTCCATCCCACCCCATCCCTGCACCAGGGCAGGAAGCACGGGCAGAGGGCGTTGGGCTCTGGGCTGGTGTCCAGGGAGCCCCAGGAGCCCCTGGTCAGGCTTTGTTTTGGAAAGCCAAGCCAGGAAGGAAGCGAGCAGCGAGGAACCGCATGGGGAGGAGGGGACGCGCAGGATGGGTTTCCACTGCGTAACCGTGGGCCTGGAGAGGTGGTGGCTGCAGAACAATAGCAGCCCGAGGGGAATACACGATTTTCCACTGGATTAGGCTGGACCTCGGTCTCCTCCCACTGCCCCGCTCAGGGCCAGGCCACCAGGCCAGGGATCAGCTGTGCCAGCAGAGGACTGGTGGGGAAACCTCTGTGCTGCTTGAGCATGGACACCCAGGGTCTTCCCTGCACAGCTTCAAGCCATCCCCACCCCATCAGTGCCCTACTCCCCGCCTCGCTGAGGCTCTCACCAGCTCCCATCCTGTCTCCCCAGCTCATGTCCCTGCCCAGCACCGCATGGCCCCAGCGCGATGAGCCCCCTCCCTGCGGCACCACCACCACCAGCCTCCCGCTGGCCTCATCCGACAGCGACTCCGGCTGTGCCCTGGAAGAGTATCCGGAGCCCCCCACAGAGCCTGCGCCCCCCGAGGTGGGAGCACCCTGTATCTCTCCCAGCTCTGTGGGTGCCATCCATGGTGGTACCCACAGCAGAGCATCCCCAGCCCTGGGATGATGGAAATGGTATCACCATCCACAGTGGTACCCACAGCAGAGCATCCCCATGATGAAGCATGTGTTTGAGCAATGCAGCTTGAACCCCCCTAAAAACCCACTTGTGTTTCTCTCCTCTACACAACACCCTCAGGTCCCGCCGTGCTCCAGCGCCCCAGCTCTGCATCCCTGCTCACCCACTGACAGCATCCAGCTCCGCACCAGAGCCCTCCTGCAGCAGCTGCCCCCTCAGGACTGCGATGTAAGACACCGATCAGTTGGGTGCTGCCCACCCTGGGCTTCACCCGCACCCCATCCCCTCACCTCCACCTCCCCGTGCAGGAGCGGTACTGCCCCGACCTCGCCGAGGAGGAGAGGAGGCAGCTCCGAGCCTTCAGTGCCCGACGGAGACGCGAGGCGCTGGGGCAGGGGCTGGCATGCCCCGTGCCGGGTCCCTGCCATGGCTGTCCCTGCAAGAAGGTGAAGCATCCCCGCTATGAGCACCCGTTATTCCCCAGTGGGGACCCATCCCCAGCCTGGCTCCAAACACCGCATCCCCTCTGCCTTGCAGTGCGGCCGGAGGCTGAACAAGGGGGACCCAGGGGTCTCAGCATCGCGCCTCGGGGACCAGTTCTGGCACCCGTCCTGCTTCTCCTGCCACTTCTGCCACCAGCCCCTGGTGGACCTCATCTACTTCCAGCAGGATGGGAGGATCTACTGCGGCCGGCACCACGCTGAGCTCTTTCGGCCCCGCTGTGCCTCCTGCGACCAGGTGAGTGCTGGGCAGGGGGGAAGCTTTTGACTCCCTTTTGTGTTGTTAAGAGCCCGCATGCTAATCTGGAGCTGCAGACACGCTGACGGCCAAGAGGAAATGTTCCTTCCCGAGTCCCTGTGCTCTCAGCACGGCAAAGCATCCTCCAGGCTACGGGGTTCCAGATGGATCCTTTATGGATGGTTTTCCCCCTCCAGCTGATCTTCATGGAGGAATGCATCGAGGCCGAGGGCCGGCGCTGGCACTTGGAGCACTTCTGCTGCCTGGAGTGCGATGCTCCCCTGCGTGGGCAGCGCTATGTGATGCAGAGCGGCCGCCCCTGCTGCCGTGGATGCTTCGAGAGCCTCTTTGCTGAGCCCTGCCAGGCCTGCGGGGACCCCATCGGTACGGCCCAGCACCCCTCAACCCGGGCAGGGTGAAAGAGGATCAAGGAATGGTTTTGGTTGGAAGGGACCTTAAAGCTGATCCAGGGACCCCTTCCACTGGAGCAGCTTGCTCGAAGCCCCTGTGCCCAACCTGGCCTTGAACACTGCCAGGGATGGGGCAGCCACAGCTTCTCTGGGCACCCTGTGCCAGCGCCTCAGCACCCTCACAGGGAGGAGCATCTTCCTTATCTCCAACCTGAACTCCCCCTGTTTCAGTTTGAACCCATCACTCTTTGCTTTATTGCTACATCCCTGATGCACAGGATCCTTGTAGCCCCCCCCACCCCGTAAGGCTGCTCTGGGGCTTCCAAAGCAGGACGTGGGCTGGGAGCTGCCGCTCCGGAGCCAGATCCCTGCGGCTGGGTGGGAAGGACGGGCTCTGGCAGGGGGCTGCGGGCAGAGCCTCCCCCTCACCCGTGGTTGCCCCTCAGGTGCTGACAGCGAGGAGGCCACGCACCAGGGGCTGCGCTGGCACGCCCGGGCCGCCTGCTTCTGCTGCAGCCGCTGCCGCAAGCCCCTGCGGGGGCAGCCCCTCACGGCGCGCCGCGGGCGGCTCTTCTGCTCCGAGACCTGCAGCCGGCGGCAGGACGGAGCCTCCAGCGACGCCTCCGACTCCTCCGACTCTGCCTTCGCTTCGGCTCCATCCCCGGCCTCGACGCCCCTGTCCCGAGCCAGCGCCGCGGGCAGGACCGGCAACACCGGGGGCTGCAGGCAGCCGGTGGAAGGGGCTGGTAAGGATGCTCCTGCTCCGCTTGTGATGTGGTGGGAGGGGAGCGGGAGCAAAACCAGGCTCCGCTCAGCCCCTGGGTACTTTATGGGGTCTGGGACATGGATGCAGCACAAGCACCGAGTCCCCAGCCCACTGCCCACAGGAGGGTGAATGCTGGTGGTTGGGATTCGGTGGGTAAAACCCTCCTCTGCACGCCGAGGGGCTGGGGCAGGGCAGGCTCAGCCTTCCCCTTCTCACCCACCTTTGCTTTCCTTCTTCCAGAGGCTCCTTCAGATCCGGCCCCCGTACATCCTGCGTTTAGGAGTCGGGAGGGCTGCGGAGCAGTGGGTAAGGAGCAGAGCAGCGATGCTGCGCACACAGGGATGCTGGGACCACCGGCCGGACACCCCTCCGCCCCCCAGCCCAGCACAGAGGGTCCCAATGGGCTTGGAGGCTTGGGACACCCAGTTTTGGGGGCCTCTGAGCCCAGAGCACCCGCAGGCAATGGAAACACATCGTTCCGAGCGGGCACATCCCCTGGCCAGCGCAGCCCGCAGCCGGAGGACATCGACCTGCAGGACATCACAGAGGAGGATGACTCCTGGTGCCCCACCTGCTCTTCATCTTCAGACACGGACTCAGAGGAAGAGGGTTTCTTCTTTGGGAAGCCCATTCCCAAGCCTGGGATGAGCTCCCTGGGCAGGGAGCCTCCGGAGAGGGCCAGGGGCAGGACGGTGAAGCCGTGGGGCAGCAGCAAGCACTGCAGCGTGTCCTAACAGCAGGGACTGGGGGTACTGGACCCGGGCTGCTGCCCTGTCAGCCCCTGCCGTGCTCTCACCACGTTCCGAGTGTGTGCTGGATGCGGCTCAAGGCTCATGGGAAGCTGTTGGGATCCTTCCCCCCCGGCAGCCGCCGGCAAACAACAGCCTGTGATTCCCAGCGGCCTCTCCCACAATTAGGAACAGGAAAAGCAGGTAGGGAGCAGGGAGCTGCGGCCTCCCTTCACAGACACGGTGGCAGCCCAGAGAGCAGCCACATGCAGGGGAGGGGACAAAGGCAGAGCTGCCTGCATCGTCCTGCTGCTGGGGACCTGTGGGGACAGGCAGAGTTCCTGGCTGCAGGGTGGGATCCTTCACTAGGATGCCTTGAAGGATGAACGCCATGGCCAGCCATGCTCCATCCCTCATGGCACCGAGGGAGCAGCTCTGCTGCTGCCAACGACGATGCTCCAATAAAGTTCGGCTGAAATCTGACCGCAGGAGGGCCAGCACAGCTCTGTCCCCATTCCTTCCCACCTCGGGGTCAGCATGGCATTGACCATGCCACCTGTGATCCCCTATGGTGGGCTCTGCAACGCCAGGAGAATGGGACCAGAAGGATGCCAGAGCAAGAGCTGCAACGATCACAACTGGTTTAACTTAGATGTAAACCAAAGAACAACCCAGGGGGTTCAGGGCACATCCCTGTGAACCAGGAATGGAGCGAGGAGCTGGGGTGGAGGGGAGCAAACATTGCAGCCTCCCCACACTGAGCAGGGCTAAAACTAAGCACCCACTTCCCCCACCTCCATGTCCATGAGAGGTGGTGAGACCGCACCAATGTGTCCATAACATCCTGACCTGAGGGCTCAGCACCCTCAGTGGCTTGGGGTGGCCGAGTCGTAACTGTTGATGAAGTCCTCCAGCTCCTGGAGGTGGTGGATGCGGCCCTGGCGCAGGTTCGCCCTCAGCGCCAGCCCCAGCGCTGCCTCCATGGAGGGCTCCTTCTGCAGCAGCATCGTGGCCACCACTGCGATGGTCAGGCTGAACTGCTGGTAGGACTGCAGGGGAGCAGCATGGAGTCAGCACAGGACCTCCCAAAACCTCCCCACCGATAGCATGCACCCCCCCAGAGCTCATCCCCAAACCCCATGAGCCCACATAAAGCCCTTCTCGCCCACAAGCACTTCCCCTACAACCACTGTTGTTGCCAAGAGGCGTTTCCCCCCAGTGACCCCAAAAGTACCAAACTCACATCCCACATCACCCAGCATCACTTCTACCCCCACGGTTCAGGGGCCACAAGGACTCACCAGCTCAATCTTCTCCTTCCTGGAGAGGACAGCAGCAGAGCGGAGGTCTGTGATGGCTGGGGAGGGGTTTGGGAGCTCAGAACAGAGCTGGTTCAAGTCATCTGCAGCCTGTGCAGTGATAAAGGTGAGGAAGAGTCAGACCCTTTGAAGGAGAGAGGGGCTGGGCAAGGTTTAAGCTGAACTGGGGCTACCAGCACCCATTGCTAGCCAGGGACTGGTCACCCTGTGTGAGGACCCACTTGGCTCCCTTCTCTGACATGCAAGAGCTGCCCCAGCTTCCCCCCAGCATCACCACAAGAGCCCTGCCAGCAGCTTTCTCTTGGCCATTAGGCAGTAAATAAGCTGCTCGGCATCGCTCGCGCTGAGGCTGGAGCCCCAGGTCGGTCACGCTCCATCACGCCTCTCGTTGTTCTGTTGGCCTATTCCCAGCTCGTTCCCATTTATCGGCATCTCCAGGGCTGCCACGGGCTCTGCCTCCAGACAAAGCAGTGCTTTTACCCAGCCCCTAATCCTGCCAACAGGATCCTGCTCCCAAGCTGCGGCAGCATCCCAGGGCACCCGCCCCATGCAGGGACACCTCGGAGCGAGAGCACAGACACCCTGCCCCGTACCGGTTTCGCCTCACTGGATTCGGGAGGGTGCTGGGTCCCTGGTGAGGTCTCTGGTTTGATGCAGGTACAGGAGGAAGCCTCTCTGGGTTGTGCCTTGGGCTCCATGGGATCTTCTGGTGGGACCTGCAAGTGTTTGGATGGCTGAAGGTCACCGAGAAGCTGTGGGTGCAAAGGATGGGGGGAGCCAGCACAGCCCTGCCCGCAGCAGTGGCCTGTCCCCTGGGGGGGACACACAATGGGGCTGCCCACCCCAAGACTCACCCCAGCACTGGCAGCTTCTACCTTGCCCTGCTGGCCCTGGGATGGCTCAGCAGGCTCCAGAGGGGCTGTGGGACTGCAGGGACATGACCCAGCACCAGCCTCAGGGCTGCTTTGGTTGCACGGCTCTACCTGTAACAAAGCATTGCAGAGCCCATGGTGAGGGCTGGCGATGCCACCCAGGCAAAGGGATAAAAGGGTTTGCAAAGGGGACTGCAAGCTCCCTGGGCTCTGCTCTTAGGAGGGAAGGAGAGAAGCAGGAGCTGCTCCCCTGGCCCAGCAGAACTCTTCTCCAGCGGGGCTGGCTCTGTTTCCAAAGCAGAAGGGCCTTGGCTGCCTGCTCAACCTGGGGACATGCAATGGTGTGAGGCTGGGCCATGTGTCTGTCCCGGGAAGAGGAGCCTGGGGACAAAGGAAAACCCAAAGGAAACCACGGGGTTTTCCAGCACTGGAGAAGAGACAGGAAAAATCCCATGCCTGGCAAAGAGACAGCAAGGTGAAGAGTGAAAGGGCTGGATGAGAGCGAGGAGGAAGAGTTACAGTGGCCAAGGAGACCCTGAGACACCTCCAGAGGTGCCCCAGGAGAGGAGCGATCTCCTACCAGCATCTCTCCTGCTACCTGCTCTGTCTTCACAGCCTCTGTCACAACCTGGAGATCAGCAGCCAGGCTCTTCTGAAAGGTGCTGGCGGCTCTGGAGCACTCTGGGACCTTCCCACTGGCTGCTGGCATGTCCTGGAGGACACAGTGAGGGTCAGGGCCACGGCAGCACCCTGCAGGGCTCCAGCCAGGCAAACCCGGTCACCGTTTGGCATATAAGCAGTGAAATCCCACAACCTTAGCCTGCTGCTCCCCGCTCGGCACAGGAGCTTTGATGGGAGTAAGTGGCTCTTCTTTGACCACTGGCTGGCTCATCCCAGAGCCGCGAGTAGACCGAGAGGGTGGCCAATACCCTGCGGAGCGAGACACACAACAGGAGCAACTCCTCGCTCTGCCCAAGCAGCTGGTGCTGAGCGGCGAGGAGCTGGTGCTGAGCACAGTGTAAGGCACATACCTCTGGGCCGAACACACAGCGGGCGCAGGACCGTGGTTGGCTTTCGGTGGGCTCTGCGAAGGCGTTGGCAGTGCCTCCTAGGAGGGCCATGGAAGCCCCAGGGCTTGCAGTCATCCTGGAAGCCACCTTGCTCCCTGCAGGAACAAAGGCAGATGCAGGAGATAGGATTGAGGCTGGAAGGGATCTCCAGTGCAATCCCTCGACCTTGAGCTAGCTCCAAAGCTGCATCCCCTTCCTTGGCTGTGCCTGGCCACAGAGCCTGGCCCCGTGTGCCCCACCATGGGCACAGGCACTCACTCTGTCTGGTGGGCAGGGGTCCAGGGGGAGTGCTGCCTCTCGCTGGGGAATTCACGCCAGGTAGAGCGGCTGGAGCCGGGTGGCATCATCTCCTGCAGGGAACGAGGTGGGTTTAGATACAGAGCAGGGCAGGGGATGCTGGGGGTCTGCCATGCAGGGAAACCTGTCCCCATGCATTGTGCTGCTCACCATGGCAGTGAATGGCCCCTGGCTCATTTCACCCGCTCCTTGCCCCCAGTCCACCACCCCTCACCGGGTGCCAGCCCTCTCCAAAGCACTCCTCAGGTCCTCCGTCACCTCTGGCACCCCAAAAGCATGGAACGGACCAGTCATTGGGTGCCCATCCCCTGTACTCCTCATTCCCACAGTAGTCAGCAGGGCCAGGGAATGGCCTGGGGTCACAGGACCAAGGCTGCAATGGCAAATGACCGCCAGTGAGGACAGTGGCATGCAGGGAACAGCCACGCAGCTGCCACCCCTCTGGTCCATTTCTCCTCACCGGGTACCAGCCCTCTCCAAAGTAGGCTTCAGGTCTTTGGTCACATTCTTTATTGTCCCAGTGGCATGGAGGTGACACATCATGAGGTCCCCATCTCCAGTTCTCCTCATTCCCATAGAAGTCATCAGGGCCAGGGAAGGGTCCGGGCTCAGAGAGCCAGGGCTGCAATGGCAAATCCCCACCAGTGAGGACAGTGGCACACTGGAGACAGCCACGCAGCTGCCATCCCCCTGGCCCACCTCCCCATACCGAGTACTGGCCCTCTCCGAAGCACTCCACAGGTCCTTGGTCACATTCTTCATTGTGCCAGGATGGTGGCGGGAGGCAGTTGTTGGGTGCCCATCCCCTGTTCTCCTCATCCACATGGAAGTCAAGACCAGGGAAGGGCTCCCAGGGATCAGGCTGCAAAGGATGGCAGCTCCCTGGGTTTAGATTTGCTGTGCTTCCCCCTCCCCACGGCAGCGCTCAGCCCCTTCTGTCTCTCCTGCTGCACGGGGAGCCCCTGGTTTTGGCTACCCCAGATTTGCAGGTGAACCCCAACAGCACCATCTCTCCCCACTGCATGGCCCCTTACCGGGCACCACTGGCCTCTCCCTCTCCTGCGCTGGGGCATCTCATCCCACGTGTTCTGGGGGCCATAACGTCGGGGTGGTGATGGTCCAGCTTGCCAAGGACCAGGCTGTGGAGAGAGCACAGGGAGGTGAAAGCAGGATGGGACCCTCACCTTGACCCTTGCACCAGCTGGATGCTGAGCAGGGATGGGGAGCCAGGAGCCCATCCATCCTCTTCCCCTGCATGAGGTCGCAGATGAGTCCCAATTCTTCCCCATACATCAGTGATGCACTCCTGCCTCCTCAGCATCCTATGCAATGGAGCATCCCCCATTGCCCCCAGAGCTCCCCAGCTCCCACTACCCTGGCAGCACGGCAGCAGGGGGGTCACAAGCCCACCTACCTGCCTGGGGAAGCCCCTCCTGGAGCCCGTGGTCGAGAACATCCTGCCTCGAAGCTCTTCCTGGCTGAAGCTCTTCCTGGCCGTGGTCCCAGGGAGGACAAGGGCCCCGGAGGGGTCAGCACCCTGCTGTGGAGGGAGAGGTGCGGGTGAGCACATCCCCACATCACTCACAGCGCGATGGGGACCACAGGGACCCCGCTCCCTACGGACACGGGGCCTCCCAGCACCGCGGCTGCTTCCATGTGTTGCAAACACAAAAGCATAACTACATTCCCCACCCCCCAGGAACAGCTCTGTTAGCTCTAAGCCCCGTCAGAATGACCCGGTCAGGTTCACAGTACAGCTTATTCACATGCAAGATATGCGGCTCTTTTGGGTTGCCAGAGATAAAACCCATTAACCACAGAATAGCCACAGCACCAACAATGCAGCTGCAATCACAAGCCAGATTTCCCAGCTTGAAACACTTGAGTCTTGCCAAAAGCCTTCTGGGGAGGGCGAGGTGGACAAACCCCTCCAGCTGCCCATACAACCAGGTGTGGAACTCATCCCCATAGGGTACAATTGGGGTGTTTATACCTGGTTATTGCACAAAGTGCTGCGGGTGGGACTGTGGTCCAGCCTTGTGGTCGCGGTGTACGGGTATTTCTTGGCCACAGGTATATCCAGCAGCCGTTGGATAAAACACTTTTCGGTATCAAGCAGCACAACGGGACCGTGCAGCATCCGCCCTGCTCCACATCCCACAGAGCTCCTCCACCTGGTCCCTGTGCCCGCCGCCATCATCCTGATCCACAGCGACCTTGTGCATCTTCTTCCCTGGTTTTATGCTCCCAACACCTTGGTTGAGCCCCGCCCTCGCTCGCAAGCACGTCTCAACACCCCCACCCCCATCCCCCAAACCCCACGGGTCTCAGCACCCCACAGCATCATCCCCACGGATCCCAGCCGAGCCGCTCTGGCTCCTTGGCACGGATACCCCCCTGCCCAGCTGGGGCTCTGCATCGGGGCAAAGGACTCGGACGCGGAGGCAAACGGGCATTGCCCACATTCCCTAGCACAGCCCTTGTGGTCCCCCGACCACGGTGTGGGGCACAGAGCAGGGCTCATGGCAAGGGACGCAGTCAGGGATGCTCTGACCCGATACTGGGGCTCCCAGAGCCACCAGTGGATGCCCGCAGCCCCCATCCCGGCTGGCAGGAGATACTGGGCACCACTCACCGCAGCACCAGAGCGAAGGGAAGCACACGCTGGAGTTTCTTTCACCCGGCAGCAGGCTCAGGTAGCCCTGGGAAGCAGCTCTCCTGCCCGCAGAAAGCAAGCACTCAGGAGCTGGGATGAAGCCCTCAGGCCTCCTGAAACCTCCCCGCCCCAACCCCGGCTCCATGCAAACCAATTGCAAGTAGGTGCTAATTGCCCTCCGGGGAATTCCCCTGGAGCCTTTCAGAGAACGTGCTGTCCCTCCCCTCAGAGCCACAGGCACAGCCAAATTCCTCCTCCGGTTATCCCAGCTCCATCAGCACATCCGCCTTTAAAGCACTGCTTGATGCAAGACCTGCAAACTGCACCTCGTCAGCCCCTGCTCCGTGCAAGGGGGACCCCCGCACCCCCAGGGACATGGAGCACCCGTGCAAGGGGGGGACCCTGCAACCACACTCGTGTGGGATATGCAGGAATGATTCGTGTCAACAATTTGGAACTCTTTGTGATCATTGTACGTTGTGTGAAATGTATAGGAATGATCACGACTATGATGAAAGAGAAGAAGAAACAAAGGGATAGTCCATTTGCTCGACTTCCTAAAGGTCTGCATGGTTGGGCGACCACGAGACACATCCTGTTACAGGATATTGTGAAACTTGGGTACTAGGCAAATAGCCATATAAGGTATGGGACAAATAGGGCCAGGACTGTGGTGAAGCTTGAAAGTGTTCTGTTAACACGTTACCAAGAAGTTTTTTTTCACCGAAAAGAAGACCCCATCAACAAGAAAAGACCAATGGGAAGTGTAATGAGTAAATCCCTGTTCGTTAATCAAATCTTGCTTGCTTAAGAGTTATTGGAAAATTACGACACTTCGACATTGTGCTTCTAGACCGCAGGCGTCTGGTAAAGTAAACGATGTATGGGGGAAGGAGATACGGAGCCTTCCTCCCCACACCCACCGGGAGGCAGCATGAAACCCCTTATCAACAGGTCACACAGAGCAGATACCCCAGGAAGTGACACGTACATCGGATGAAGAAGAGTATAAAACCAGTGACTTTGGGGAAGTGGGGTGCGTGCCCTTGGCGGAGCGGAGGCTCCCCGGCCGCCCAGCGCTGTTTTGCTTGCTGTCGCTTGCTCAGTAAACCGATTTGATTCATTTGGTCTGGCTCCCGTCAATTTGTTTGAGCCATGTTTATAACAGGAAGGAGCCACGTCGGCATCCGGGAAAAAGAAGACAAAGAGATTGGCTGAAACCCAAGACCAAGGAGTGTAAGAGACTGAACCCTAAAGACCACGGGGTGCGTGTTTGGTGGAGCGGAGACTCCCCGGGGCACCCAGCACTGCTTGCTTATTGCCTCTCGATATTAATCTATTGTAATAAAATAATTAAATCAGATCATGGCTAAAATGGAGTTTTTATAACACCTGCATCAGCCACGCCGTCTCTGGGATGCTCCCAGCCTTATCCTGGAGGGATCTGGGGGAGCAGCCCCCGCACCCCCCAGGGGCTGCAGCACAGCCTGCAGGGATGAGGGGGGAAAGCAGAGGAGCAGAGAGGTGGCCCTGGCAGGACAGAGTCCATCAGGGATGGACGCTGCCATCGCACCCACCTTTGTAAATGAGGAGCTGCTCCCGGGACACAGCGGCTCCAGGACTGGGGCTGGAGCTGCTGTGGTCTCTGGTCACCTCCTAACGCTGGCAGCAGCCCTGCGGATGGAGCCTGGTTGGTCCCAGGTATGGCCGGGCCTCCCGGAGCAGCCAGGCACCTCCAGCTTCCCCTCCTCCCTATTTCCCTGCATTCCTATGAGAGCAGCACTCCCAGGAAGCCCGAGGTACACACATATCACCCAGCCCCTCCAGCACTTTAACATCTGCCTTGTGTTAGGGGCTGACAGCAGTGGGAGGCTTTGCTGCTGCCTGGGAACGCTTTGATAACAACCTGGTCCAAGTGGGTCAGCCCAGCAGCAGAAACTCCTGCATGGATAGGGAGTGTGGAGCAAGCTTTTGACCTTGCAGGAATGTAGGAGGAGATAAGAGAGAAGAGGAAGGCCTGAGAGAGGCTCGCAGATACCAAATGTCAGCAAAGGAGGAGATAAAAGGGAAAGCAAAAAGCATGGAGTAAAATCCTCCAACGATGCAACTGAGCTCACAGGGACGGGGCAGCCCCTCGGAGCTGACTGCTTCTCAAGGCTGCTCCCACCGGGCAGATAACACACAGCTGGTCGGCTAATTATAGTCGCTAATAGCTATAAATCAATTAACTAACTGGGCGGATCAATTAGCAATTTGGGATTTGGGATAGGAATGCAGCAGCAGCAGGGAGAATGGTGGCTGCACCACATCCCCTGGAGAGCTGAGTGGCTCCAGTGGTGCATGTCCTCTGTTCCGAGCCTGGTCTGGGGATCCAGACCAGGAGGGCAAAATGAGCTCTTGGGAAGCAGGGAAATGGGAGGCATGGGACAGTGATGCCAAGTGACAGAAACTATGTAAGGATAAGCTCCTCTGCTAAAATCTTGGTATGATAATAAAGGTCTCATTATAGCTACAGCCCTGCAGCCAGTTCTCATTCCACACAGGAGCTTTCCTGTCCCCGCAGCACTGGGGGACAGCCCACAACGATGCAAACCACACTGGCTTTGGGGCTCTGCAGGCAGCATCCCTGCTGGGGCCGGGTCACTTTAGCACATCTCAGCCCTGCAGGCTGCTTTTCGCAGCTCTGGCACAAGGGAGCACAGGAGCTGGTGCTGGGCTGAGGCTCCATCCGGGTGCAGCGCCCTGGTCCTGGCTCACCCCGTCCTGCTGCACCCAGGCAACGCGGTGTGGTGACCGCGGCTGCTCTGTCCTGGAGTGTTTGCTGTGGAAGCACACGGGCACCATCGTGTCTCAGCAGGGAGCAGGGGCACGGAGGCAGGGCCACCAGCAGCGACATTAGGGCGAGGGCAGTGGGAAAAGAGGATGGGGAAGGGCCAGTGCTGGGGGCCCCAGCAGCAGCACCCCCAGTGCCAGCAGTCATTGAGCTCATGGGGATTGCTCCCTCCTGATGGGAACGGGCACCTCCTGCAGCGGTGTCGGGGGGGGGGGGGGGGCAGAAAAGCTTTTTCCCCCTCCTAAAAAGCCGTGAAGGCTGAGAGGGAGCTGCCAGAGCAGGGGGAATGGGGCTCATGGCTGAGGAGTCACGGAACCCCAGCCTGGTTTGTGTTGAAGGGACCTCAAAGCTCCTCCAGCTCCAACCCCTGCCACGGGCAGGGACCCCTTCCACTAGAGCAGCTTGCTCCAAGCCCCTGTGTCCAACCTGGCCTTGAGCACTGCCAGGGATGGGGCAGCCACAGCTTCTCTGGGCACCCTGTGCCAGCGCCTCAGCACCCTCACAGGGAAGAGCTTCTGCCTAAGAGCTCAGCTCAGTCTCCCCTCTGGCAGGTTAAAGCCATTCCCCTTGGCCTGTCCCTACAGGCCCTTGCCCACAGCCCCTCTCCAGGTTCACTGTACCCCCTCCAGGCTCCGGGTCTCACAATCCCTTGCACCATTCGGTGTTAGGGAGGGAAGTCCCTTCTCTAGACAAAGGGTATTGTTTTATCCTTACTGGTATTTCTGGGTTCCTTATTGTGACTGAAAACGGTTCGATATCCAATTTGCCTACCGTTTCCGGGGTATACCATACTTCAGGGTTTATCTTTTCATCTGTTACTCGCAGTGGGCACAATTTAATCTTCAATGTTTCATCCTTTACCTCTAAACTAATCCCTAGTTCAATCATTAGATCTCTGCCCAATAAATTATAGTCTGCTTCAGGCACTAGCAGCAGGGACCCCACTCCCATTTTGGAATGTGTTTCAAAAAGTACATCCTTTATTACAGGTACTCCAAAAGGTTCTCCTTTTGCTCCAGTAACCTGTACCGTCTCCGGGGCTATCTTACATCCTCGGGGCAATTCTTGAACAGTTCATCTTTTCGCTCCTGAGTCTGCTAGGAACTCAACTTCTTGTTGCCAGGGACCCACTTTTAATTTTATCAAGGGCTCTGTTCTTTCTCGAGTCCCCAGCAGATAGAGCCCCTGACACCCCTAATCTTCCTTGAACATCTTCTCATCCATCATCCCCTTTCTACAGTCTTTCTTAACATGTCCTTTTCCTCCACAATAGAAACAAAGCACCGTTCCTCGTTCCTTTTCCCTTGGAGGCCTCCGGGGTCCTGATCCCGATTGTCGGGATTCAGGCCCCTTCCTAGGAGTGGGTACCCTCTGTCCTTCTCTGACCGCCGCTACCAGCATTCTAGCCTGCTTCTTGTGCGTCTCCTCTTCCCTTCCAACATATACCTTCTGAGCTTCTCTCAGTAGTTCATCTAAACCACGGTCCTGCCAATCTTCTCTTTTTTTCCAGCTTCTTCCCAATATCCATCCATGATTGAGCTACAAATTGTGTTTTCAGTGAGGCTTGCCCTACCGGAGGGCTAGGATCTAGCCCTGAAGAAAGTTGGGGATTTTTTTCTAAGTCTCTCTAACCATTCCGTAGGGGTTTCATCCTTCTTCTGGTGTTCACTGAAGGCTTCATTAATATTTTGTCCCCTAGGGACCGATTCCCTTATCCCCTGAACTATGATAGTCCTTAAGTCCTGCATATGGCCTCTATCCATTTCATTTTGATTATTCCAATTAGGTCTCTGGAGGGGCCACTTAACATCCGCCGTGGGACCTTGCTGATGTTGCTGGTCCCAGATCCTCATTCCGGCCCTCCGGATCATATCCCTTTCTTCTGCCATGAACCAAATACCCAATATGGCCTGCAGTTCATCCCAGGTGTAAACGTTGGGCCCCAAAACTGATCTACTCGTTCTGCAACTCCCAGGGGATCCTCTAATAAGTTACCCATTTCCTTTTTGAAGTCTCTAACATCTCCTGAGTTCAAAGGGACACAGACATATCCCATACCAGGTTGCGCTCCTCCCATTGCAACCTCCTGGAGGGGATCTAGATTACCCCTGCTTTCCCTTGCCCTACTTTGGCTCCGGGTCACCCGCCTGTTCTCCTCGGGGGAACTAGGGGTAGAATCTGAATCACTGGGGTAGTTTGGAGCTGTTGGAGGGGGAAAGGGCTGCGGTGGTGGTGGTGGTGGTATATAAGGGGGAGGCGAAATGGGGATTTCATCTTCACTCTGCATCTTCTCTTTCCCCCCCCTTTTCTTTCTTTTAAAGGATATAAATTTGTCCTAGTCTCGGACCCTATCCATAAATGTGCATACTTGCTTTCCTCCAAACTAAATGGTTCCTTTGAATTAACGTAAATACTTAAAGCCTGGCAGATCCAGTCCTCAAAGGACCCAAATACGGGCCAATATAAATGATCACCTCTAATCTGCTTACCTCCCCAAACTTCCATACAGTAATGTACCATTTTTACTTTGTCCTTACCCCACCTAGAAGGGAAGTCATCCCAATATGTAATCATCAATCCCAACGGACTCTCCAGTGGTATCTGGGGTAGCTTAGCCTTAACCTCCGACCCCCCATGGAATCAGAAGGCTTGCTTTTCTTCTGTCCCATCTTCCGGAGTGCCTTCTCACACACACACAGTCTTTTTGCCCCCTTGTTTGCGGCCCAGTCCCTCGCGGGAGACGGGAACCGCACTACTGAGGGGTCTGCACTCCCTTCATCCTTAACTGGACGTCTCACACAGGCACACTCCGGGATACCCAACCCCAACCGAACGGGTAACCGGCCTATACTTACGCACTCCTGCGTCTTCGTTCGGAGCTTCGTGCACAAAGATTACGGGGTTGCCGGCTTTCTTTTGCTTGCTGTCGAATTTAGGATTCGTCGGTAGAGGGTATGGTGAGATAGCACCCGAGCAAGGGCCGCTATACAGCGGGGCGCCTCCCTTGTGTGGGGCTTCGCACCAGATTGCCTCTATCCGAGCCACGGCACCAAAATTGTTATAGATGTGGCTCAAATAAATTGACGGGAGCCAGACCAAATGAATCAAATCGGTTTATTGAGCAAGCGACAGCAAGCAAAACAGCGCTGGGCGGCCGGGGAGCCTCCGCTCCGCCAACGGCGCACACCCCACTTCCCCAAAGTCACTGGTTTTATACTCTTCTTCATCCGATGTACGTGTCACTTCCTGGCGTACTCTGCGTCTGTGTGACCTGTTGATAAGGGGTCTCATTCTGCCTCCCGGTGGGTGTGCGGAGGAAGGCTCCGTATCTCCTTCCCCCATACATCGTTTACTTTACCGGACGCCCGCGGTCTAGAAGCACAGTGTCGAAGCGCCGTAATTTTCCAATAACTCTTAATCAAGATTTGATTAACGAACAGGGATTTACTCATCACAGCGCGGTGTGAGCGGAGGGAAGGGGGAGCGGCATCGCGCCGCGACGGGGCCAGCAGGAGCAGGCGGCAGCATGGCGGGGGCGGCGGCAGCGGCATCGGCGGCGGCACCGGCACCGGGCGGGCCGGGCGCTGCCCCGCAGGGGTTGGGCGGGTGGCTGCGCAGCGCGTACCGGTTCGCCACCGACCGCAATGACTTCCGCAGGTGAGGGAGCGGGGACGGGATAGGGAGCGGAACCGGGAGAGGGACAGGGAGCGGAACCGGGATTGGAACAGGGAGAGGGGACGGGGTAGGGACCGGGAGTGGAACCGGGGGAGGGACCGGGAGTGGAACCGGGAGAGGGGACGGGAGTGGGGACGGGGTAGGGACCGGAGCGGAACCAGGAGAGGGGACGGGAGAGGGGACGGGAGTGGAACCGGGAGAGGGGACAGGAGTGGAACCGGGAGAGGGGACGGGGTAGGGACCGGGAGTGGAACCGGGGGAGGGACCGGGATTGGAACCGGGAGAGGGGATGGGATGGGATAGGGACCGGGAGCGGGGACGGGGTAGGGACTGGGAGTGGAACCGGGAGAGGGGACGGGATAGAGAGCGGGAGTGGGGACAGGATAGGGACCGGGACCAGGGACGGGATGGGATAGGGACCGGGAGCGGAACCGGGAGAGGGACTGGGAGCGGAACTGGGAGAGGGGACGGGATAGGGACCGGGAGAGGGACTGGGAGCGGAACTGGCAGAGGGGACAGGATAGGGACCGGGAGTGGGACCCTGCAGTGGCAACGGGACCCCACGCTTCCGCTTTCTCCCTTAGGAACCTGCTGGTGAACCTGGGGCTGTTCGCCGCTGGAGTCTGGGTCGCCCGGAACCTGACGGACATCGACCTGATGGCCCCGCAGCCCGTCCCGTAGCGGTGAGTCCCTCGGGAGCGGGTGTCCCAGTGCCAGGCAACCCCTGGAGCGCAGCCGGGCTCCGGGAGGCATCGATGGCACACGGCGGTACCGAGCCCTGCCGCTCCTTACCCTGCCTCATCGCCGGTACAGGGAGGAAGAGCCGCCGGGAAGTGCCCGCCGGGACCAGGAGCAGGGTTCGGCCGTTCCACCTTGCGATGCCTTCGCCTGCAGGAGTGCGTCCCGTCCTCATCCCGTTCTCCTCCTCCTCCTCCTCCTCAGCGCTGCTGCTCACACCTCAGCCCCGCCACGCCTGGAGCAGTGACAAAGGGGGGAAAAGCTTTTAGATGCCAGAGGGAAGGTGGATTCCTCGTGCGAGGCTCACGAGTGGTGTCTTCAGGGATGTGAAGCCATCACGTATGGGATTTTATTCTGTACCCCCGTCGAGGTGGTTATTAAAGTCTGTACAATAATGACACGACCCGCTGGGAGTTCTGGTTTTGTGTCGTTTTTAATAAGAAAACTTCAGCTTACAAAAAACAAGGTGTAAAAAGTGTAAAGATTTACAAAAAAATCATAAAAACATGATTTATATTCCACACCCCAAAGACAAAGGAAGGGAGTCCAGGCCTGGGGTGGCCACGAGCCCCACCGGCTGCTTATCCAAAGGGAAAACCAAACCTGTGACGAGGCCCAAATGTTTCCTGGGTGATGTCTGGATGAGATAACGCTGGGATGCTTTAGGGAATGATGACTGCAAGTGGGAAGGAGAAGCCATTTGGTGTTGCATAGCATTTTAGTGCCCTGGGCTGAGCCTAAAACTTGCCGTTGGGCAACAGCAGAAGCACCATGTGGGAGCCGTGGCTGTGATTTGGCTACGTTACATGACAGCTCCTTGAGGATGCTGTTTGTCGAGCACAGGGATTTCCCAGCCCTGAGCAGGATGGCAGCATGATTGCCATGTGGCTGCAGGTTCTTTGCACAGTCCCACATGGGTTTTAGGGTAAGACATTCATGTTTAGTGACAGAACTGCCCCTCGCTTGCCCCGGGGGGGACCTCGCTCCGCTCCCCACACACAGACTCCTAAAAACGCTGTTTTCAAAGCAGGTTTTTGACTATCCTGTAAAGAAATGGAAGTTCCTTTGAAGTAGGGATAATCCAAGTTACACAGAAGGAGTTTCTGCAGGAAAAGGAGATTAATTCGAACACGGAGTCACTTTATAGTTAATCTCTGTTTTGATTGGGAACACACTAATCTCCCGAGGCTGGGGGTCAGGCTGGGGGCAGTCCCTGCAGTTAAGTACATGAAGCTGCCACAGGGGACTTACTGGCTGTGGTCTTAACAAACCCTCGACTGAACTAAAAGCATCTGAAGCCACGATCAGGAGCACAATGAATTACGAACTGAAGGAGCAGCGCGCGTGCCCCGCGCTCTGAGGCAGCTGGACGGATGGCCAGCCACATTCAGGAGCTAATCGGATTCTCTTGTCCCTTGTTGCTGCCTGGAAGTGTCCTTGAAGCCAGGTCTGGTTCACGAGCACAGCACGGCACACATCAGCTTAAGTCAATAGGGATGGGAGGAACAGAAACTCAAAGTAGAGGCTGCTCTGACTTGAAGCCACTGAAAACACCAGGAAACCCACCTGAGCCCCAGCTCTTGGAAGAGGTGCAGCTTTCCCAAGGGGATTTCGCACTGAGGGAAACCTCATCCTCTGCCAACAGCCCCCTTCCAGCAACCTTAACTTGGAGCAGGATTAACTGTCTGAAAGTGCTGACGATTAGCTTCAGTTCTGCCCTTCCTCCAGTCAACAGAGCAGTCCCACAGCCCCCTGCCCAAGCCCACCGCACTCATGCAGGCAGCTCTTGCCTTGGAGCAGCTGCCTGAAGTTTCTAAGCTGTGTTTAAGCTTCTCTTATGGAAAGGCAGACCTGCAAAACACAAGTTTCACTGAAAACGAACTCATTCACTTGTTCCTTTCCTGTAAGCTGTTTGATCGATGTATAGAGGGCTGTGGCTTGATGTTTGTAACCGCTTAACCAAAGCTCACATTAAGCAGGGAGGAAAACAGAACCCAATCTCTCTTACTCTGGGCTCTGGGTTGCCAGTGATAAATTACTGCAGTTCACACATCTGCTAAAGCAGGCAGTAAGAAATAGCTTTAAGGGCCAGGCCGACTAACATCATTTAATACACGTAAGGTGAAGAGGACACTCACTATGAAGATGCCATTCCTCATCGGAGGTGTGGAGCTACGCAGCCCAATCACTACGTGCACTGGGCAAAAGGACACACAACAGGAGCAGCCCAAAAGCAAATGATCACTGTTTGGCACAGGTAACTGATGTATGTAGCTTTTGATCACTGAAACACATGGGTTCATAAACTTAGAAGCTTGCTAGAATGCTTCATATCCCCTATCTGCAGTAGCCAGGTATCAATATTAATGTAATAGACACCAAAAACCCCACTGAATTGAGGTTTTGTATTCCCAGAGGCAATAAATTCTTAACCTAAGTCCTCCCTGTCCCATCTGAAACCTGCTGGAGGGATTAGATGCACACACAAAGGCAGTGTTCAGAGCTTGGATTTTGCTGTTCACCTCGAAGAAGGGACACTTGGTCACCATACACACCTATAGTTATTGCATGTTAAACTTACACAGGCATAACCACAGCAGGGTTCTGCTCACGTGTGGAAGCATTTGCCAGGCTGCTAAGGGGAAACCTGTGCAAACACTGCCAGGACGATGGGAACTCTTATCTAAAAAGCCAACTCTAATCCACTTTTGCATAAGCTGTTATTTGAAGGGGTACAAATACACAGGGTTCAGACATGTCGCACTCAAATCCTTCTTTCTGAGCTTGTCAGTGCTGCTGAGGACTTGTAAAACCACACAAGCCTGTCTGCTGCTTCAGAGGGGGGAATTCCTGACTTATTTCCCAAGGTTTCTGTCCCATGCAAAACGTTATTGGATCCAAGGCACCAAGTCTAAGGAATCATACAAAATTAGTTCACCCATCTGTACTGGCAGGGAAAACTCATCTCCCTGCCTCTCCTTTATGTAGTTCTCCATTTGCTGCCTCATGTTAACAATGTCAAAGCCAGACCATAGAATTGTTCAGGTCAGAACTAAGGAGGTGGGAGGGAAACGAGGGTATTTTCAGTGCTTTGCAGAGGAACTGGTTTTGCAGTGTGCATAGTTTAACGTGGCCATGAAGGGTAACAGAAAGGCCAATCTCTGTAACTGACTTGCTAGCAGAATAAAGTCAGTTAAGATAAAGTGGTTTCCATCAGCGACAGCAGATGCTGTATCACGCCTGGCCATGGAAACATTAAGTCTTCATTCCTAAAAACATAACATTAAGGAATGCCAATTGACTCACAAGTTGGATGCAATAAGGATATGCTGGGAACAGTTCTGCCCCAACGGCTGCTCCTCCCGAGTCCATCTGCCAGCATTCAAAGGCTTCCTGCACCTTCACATGTGCTCCGAGCATCCCTCAAGGCAAATGACTCCTTGCTACAGGACTGGAACCCCAGTATGGGAAATCCCAGTGCACAGAGAAACCAATTCTGCTCCCAGTTGTACCAAAAGCAAGGTTTTTGTGCTGCAGACACTCAGCTTGGAACTCATGTTGCAACCACTGACTCCAGTCAAGTCATGTCACCTGCCTGTGTATTTGCAAGAGCAGAGCCTAAGCCTGGAGTTATTCTAATAGACATCAATCTATTACCAGGATTTGAAGCCATACCATTACAGGAGGGACAAAGTTTGCTTTACAGCCTAATGATACAGCACCTTCATCTTACTGATGTAGAGAGGTAACTTCCAATCCGAATTTCTGGCAAGCAGGACACTATAAAACAGTGTCCACCACGGAGGGAGCACTGGGCTATGCTTATATAAAGAAGCCTGCAGTAGACAAATATAAACCAAACAGCATAAAACATGCTATACGCTCTCGCTTCCAAATAAAAGCTGAATATTACAGAAACCTCACAGTGTTGGAAAAAGCAAGTTTAGATCCTTTGAAGTATAAATTCATTCCTTCCTTATCAGGGCAATCACTTTCTGACTGCAGTATCCCTGCATCTCAGCACAACCGAACTGATGACACATGGAGAGGCCACTCATGTCAAAAGGTGTCACCAGCACACGCTACCAAATGTGCCTCCCCCTCGCCTCGTGTGACAACTGAATTCAACTCTTAATGCCAAACACTCAGTCAAAAGATGAGCACCACAGCAGAGAGCCTCAGCTCCCTGCAGGATCAATGGATGCTGCACTAAGGTTTGCTTTCCTGTTGAGTTTGACACCCACAGGACTGAGGGACTCAGAGGGAACGTGCATTTGGTAGCCACACTAAACTGTGACTGCCACTTAGGAGAATATAATCCTCGTATTTAAGAGCGGACAGGCCTGGAAGGATGGATGCATGGGAAAAATACCAGTTTTCCTTTCCACCTCTAAGATGAAAAAGGCAATTTTAAGCACTGCTTTTCCCTTGAATTCTCTTTTTGACACACAGCGTTCCCAGAGCTCTAGAAAAGAACCCATCATGTGTCTGATAATCCCAAGATTCTGATGCTTCCAGGAATGTCAACTCCTACCTGCGCTGAAGCCAACTCAGCCTCCCCTGCAGTCAGCAGCCACAATTAACTGCTACTGGGTTGCAATTTAGCCTCTTGCATTTTATTCACTGGTAGTAAATTCCCTACTGAGTAAATACAAGGCTACAAAGACATTCACTGAAATCCCTCCAGACGCTGCTACATCTACAGAACCAGAACTACAACTTCTGACAGAGTCCTATGGGAACTGGTTTAAAACTGTCTTGTTTCCAACAGAATTCGAGCCCATGATGTCAAAACGAGACCGAATTGCCAAAAAAAGACAGGTTTTGGTGCCTCAAAAAGCAGCACGTTGCTCAGACACACGGGAAATGGGGAACCTCAAGGACAGAGACCTAGCACCACACTGTGCTCTGCTCGCTGTGTTCACCTGCACGGCTGCAGCGAGGAACAGCAGCCACAGCAGCACAGACCAATGCGCCCACAGGACAGAACAGTCCCAGTAGTGGCAGTGGAAATGGAGGAACAGCGTTTGGGAGACTTACCTCTTCCCCCTTCCACCACCAGCATGAGGTTGTCAGGGTGTGTGTGTGATGGATAAATACCGATAAGAGCAGAAAAAGAGGGAGGAAGAGAAACACTTTTACAACTTCTCTACCTGAAAATGGAACCGGTTTTTAAGCAGCTCATTTTTGAGGTTATTTCACCTTTAAACCCCCCCCCAGACCATGAAGACTGACACACATCGTGCCTCCTTAGAGGGTTCAGATTTGAACATGACATGTGAACCGCCAAACCCCGACTTAGAAAACCACACCTGAGGCGCAACTGTAGGCTGAGAAGTGACTGTCAACAGTCAGCTAAGGCCCCGTGCTTCCCACAGAATTCCAGACCCAAGACGACCACACATACAGACGTTTTCGTTGCCTTTCAAACCCGACGTGGAATTTGACATTGAAGTACATTCCTTCCCTTTATGGCCCAGCAGAAACAAAGACGGCGCAGGCTGAGCTCTGCACAGCCTCCTTTGTGTGACAACTGCAATCCGTGGCCATTCCCCTTAGAGGAGCAATAGGAGCAGCCTCTCACTGCTGTGGTCTCACCACCAGCCTGTTCCCCTAAGGAAAACATGCCACGCTTGTATGAAAGTGCTACTTTGCCAGTGTAAGATGCCTCCGTGCCACCCGCTCCTGCTGTCACAGCCAGGGCTCAGGCTCCTCTGTCATCCTGACGACCAAGCTATGGCAGCAGAAGCCTGCAGCACAGGCTTTGTTTTTGCTGCCACTGTAAACAGATTTGACACACTGCTACATTCCTGGTTTAGGACCGAGTTTTGTGTTTTAAACAGACTTTTTTTTTTTTTTCCAGAGCAGAACTGTTTTTTAAATCACATTCCTTGTGAATTTAGCTGCCGGTTCAGTTCAGCCCGGAGAACAAACCACCGAGGGTGCACACAGCCCCAGAAACAGAGGAGAGGAGCTGCTGACAAAGCTTGCCCACCGTGGGTTTGCCCTCAACGGATGGCAAAGAACTTGGTATCCCAGAGACTGCTGAGGCCCCGGGGCAGTATTATCCCTGGTTGAAGAACATTTAACATTTCTCTAGCAAGAACAGCTCTGAGGGCCGTCAACTCCATCTATCCAACAACTGTCCCAACACATACCTGGGTGATCTGCGTTTCAAACCTTGGCAATGTGAACAGCGACTGAAGGGGAGGGGACTGTACCTGCTCCTTCTGCAGTTTTATCACCATTACCAGGTAGTGAAGGTTTTTGAAGCCAGCTGAATGCTTCAGTATCCTGGTTGTGCTCAGCTCTTACACGCCTTACCCACATCCTTTTTGAGATGAGGGATACACAGCATCAAACCTTCCCATTTCATTCTGGGAGCATACTGAACGACGAGATGCTTTCTAAACAAGATCCTGACTGCAACCTTACGTGTCAGAACGGCACAGCTCGACAGGCTTTTCCAGACCCTGGGTGGCCAATGTCAAGAGCTGATCCCCTTCCCACAGCGAGCCTTTTTTCCTACAAAGAGGAAAGATGTGAACGCCAATGGCTGTAAAGGAAACGGAGGCTGTTGGTTGAGTCACGGAGCTCCCCATCATGGGAATGTCAATCTTCTGTCCTTATTATCACTGTGTCTGGATGGCACCTGAGCTTGGAGTTGTTTTTCTGAGATTCTTGCTTTGTCCTGCACTGTTCTTTGAGTGTAAAACAGAATGTAGGCCTGGGTTTTGCACACCTCCTCCACACTACATACATTCAGTTTGGAGTCATTGCAGTGGACCCAAAAACCTAGGAATCAAAGTGAGAAAGACGGTATTAGTAAGGGAGGCGTTAACTCCTTCTGCATGCATTTTGGAACGGTTCAGAGGAAACATCCACAGAGAAAAAGGGCAGCGGAGGAGAAAAGGCATCTCTATCGTTTCCTCTACGGATGCTTTGGAAAGGAGCTCCTGATCTGGAAAACATTTGGATTGTTTCTGTGCCATTAACAGAGTTCAGAAATACCAAACTGTAATTTAACCAACTGTATATTATAGCCCAAGAGCTCCATTAGGAAAAGAAAAATTCCCTGGAGAGAGGCAATTTGTAGCTCTTTCTGCCCAAGTCCGAAGGCAGAATCAACACTGATCCAGCTGCAGAGAGAGACTGCTGGAAAGGCACAAAACCCCTGCGGATGTTACTCATGAATGGTTCCTGTCCAGCTTCAAAACACTTTCTGTTTATCTCATCATCCCAAGGATACTGAGAAAAGACACCCAGCTGGAGCAGCTCCACGGAGTTACGCTGCATGAGAAAATGAAGCATTCATGCTGTTAACAGCAAGCAATAAAAGGCATCCCGAAGGGCTGCGAAGCAAAGAACGGCAATCTGTGGCTTTAGGCAAAAGCCCAGAAAACATGCTCCCGGGAAGCCATTCTGGGAAACAAAGTACCAAACGCTGGGAAATTGATTCCAACCAACTTCCATCAGAAAGCTTTACAACGCACTACGTCTGTGGAACAAAACACGAGGTTCTTGAATCTGTTTCCCCCGTAACAAGGCACACGCACCTCCCTCTGTGTTGTAGCAATATGCTGTGTAGTGTCCTGAGCCAAACCCTTTCCCGTGATGCATCACCACAGCGGAGAGGTCATAGACAAAGGTCTCTTTGTCAAGAGAGGAGAGAGAGTCCCTGCAGCAGTAAGGTTCCATGTTTAATACCTGGTCAAAGAGGACATGGACCCCAATCTTCTCGCGGTGATTACGTTCAGACCACCTGCAAACACAAGGGCACGAATCAAAGACTCCGGCTCCCGCTTCTCGCCTCTGGTGCACACAAAAGCAGCTGCTGCTCGACAGCTCTGAAGAGCTTTCTGTGCTCGGGTCAAGTAGGCGGTGTGTAATTCTTTCCTTCTGTTTCCACTCTAACATCTCCTGCACTGAGCTCATTCTGACACCGATGCCCGTTCGTTATCGTTAGGGTACTGCGGAGATTTGCAACGGCCAAGCACAAAGCAAGCCAAACTCCCGTGACAGCAAGACAGGGGCTGAAATGCTCTGTTGGAATTTAACCCCCCCGCCTCCTGCCTCAAATGCCTGGCCTGAGCTTCAGAAACTGCTCGCAGTATTTTGAGCTTGGGCTGCTGTGCTTTACTCAATGGCTACATCCATAATATTGGCATTTAACTAGCGCAGGCTTCCAGCTTCAACAAATCTTTCACTCAGCTCATCCATCTCACAGCCACTCTTTCAAGTTGCCTCCAAACTCAGACAACTGCTGTCGAGTACAATGCAAGGGAATCAGCATTAACATGGATAAAACATTACGTTATGTGCATAGCACTAAACACGCTACAAACAGGCTACTGATTGTAATGTGAGACGTACTCTGAGAGGGAATCACCTCTCTGGTTTGGGTTAAAATGCATTTACCAGAAAGGGAGGGGTGATGAGCCCACACAAATCACATCTCTCCCAAAGTCAAGCCTCCTGCCCGACACCACGCAGTGTGCCCCACTCACCTGAATCGTTTAAGGTGCAGCCGGAGGACCTGAGGTAGTCTGTAGATCAGTAACTGCTTTTTAGCTTCACTCAGAACAAGGGGTTTAGGAGAAGACTTTCGCCGTTTGCCTACCAAACAGAATGAAAAACACGGAGGCAAAGATTGTTGGGGTGGAATTCGCTTTCAGAAGGGGAAACAAACACGTTGTGAACTCTTTTCTTCCAGCTCACGTGCACTCACGACGGACGCACGAGTCAACATCGCCTATGAGTTCCTTCACAGAGCAGGAGCCACCTCTGAACCAAAAGAGAGGAGGGAAAAAAAGGTTCCTCCTGCCAGGGATTACTCCTTCCAGGACACTGAGCATATGAGTGTACCAGGAGGAAGACAGGTGGCTTCCAGAGCTTCCAGTAAGAAAGGTACCTGTTAATTAGATTTCTGCACCTCACTGCACCAGCTCACAACAGATGGGATGCTCCTCCTCCATCACGTCTGACAAGTGCCCCCAGTAGTTTCTGGCAGCTAGGTGCAGGCTGGTTGCCTTCCCCTGGCTTTTTTCAGCTGGTTAAGATTCCCTTCCTCATTTCACTCTGAAGAAACGGTTACAATTTGGGCTTCCACAAAGAATCCAGGAAAACAGAGCCGAGACGAAGCCGTACTCACCCGCACCAACACTCTGTGAACCAGAATCTACTCCTATCATATTTGGCTTTGTTTCAAGAACATCTCATCAATGGTTATTTCCTAATGCTCCGTGAAGATGTTTGGTAACAGATTTGTGAGTGGACAGAGAACAGATCTCTACAAATATTTGCTGCTTCAGCTGCTTAGTTGCAATGCAAGTCAAGGTATTGGCATTTTCCTCCCACAGGGATGAATATTTGCCATAAATACCTGCATGAAAAAATATTTCAAATGCAGCTTCTCAGAGTAGCTGAGCTGCACGGTTATAACACAGCTAAAATTATTCTCAGGCATATAATGACCTTACACTCAGACTTGCTACAGGAAGAGAGAAGTCATCTTCTAGCTGAGCGCAGCAAAACGTGCATCCATCTAACAGGTATTACATTAACCTGAGACTGCCCAAATAGCATCAGTTCAGTGCTTCTTGACAAAATGCTTACAGAGAGCTGGAAGCTGGAACCTGGCAGCACACCTTGAGAACTCTGCATTTGTGATTCTGGTTAAAGGATTCAATCAAGAGCAAGCTGCATATGGATGACTTGCTATAAAAGCTTTCCTACGATGCAGAGATGAGCAAACCACAGGGGATAAGGTTCCTTCTTCTGCCCCCTCTTACCCCCAAAAGAATTCTTGAGGTTGCCTTCTCCTCTTAAAGCAAGGGGGGAGAGCATGAGCAGGGTCAGAGTAAAACCTCAGCAAACTGTGCTGCTGAATGGTGGAGACAAGAAAAATGTTGTATCAGGTCCAAACTGGTACCCAAAGGAGCAGAAGCTACCAAGAGGAGGAAACAAAACAGCACGAGCAGCAAGGAAGAGCAGTTTTCCTATACACGCAGATGACAATCCCTCTTTTGAGACACATCAAACACACATCAGAAACGTCTCAATTGGAAAAAGAGATGGTACAGAGACAGCATCAGCAGCTCACTTACTGTTGCACTGGTCGCACGCGTATATCCTCCCTTCCAGCGCCTCGGTCTCGGTGAACTTGGCCAACATCTCTGTCAGCATGCACTCTGCCTGGTGAACAGGGACAATCCCCTTCTCCATGGAGTGATAGCGCTCGGGGAATTCCAGGGAAAGATCCCAGAAGGGCTCCACAGTGTTGGATTTGTAGTTGCATGTTATGCAGGTGACCTGAGGATGACACAAACGGAGTTATGTACGTGTACACCTGCAGCCTGGCAGTTACAGTCACATCTAAAGAGCAGGTTTATGCCCCAAAGGCCTTGCAGTTTCACAGGCAGGATGATCTGTGAGTCAAGAGAAACATGACTTCTTTCCACTCTGAAAGCTAATCTTGAGCAAATCATTCAAACTACTTTCTCAATCCCCCCCAGACGGAGCCAATGTTCATGTTTATGGGCTTTACTTCCTCAGATGAACACTGTTACAGGTATAACACTGATTTACAGCTGGTAACAAGCACCTTGGATCTGTTTCCTACTACAAAAAGTACATGTTAGCATTTAGCACGCCATCATCCTTCCATAGCTTCTCTGCCTTCCTTACATATCTCAAAGTGTGCAATTCCTTTAATGTCTCATCTGCTAACTATATAGAATCTTTCCTGAACAGAGCATGAAAGGCCACATTTCAGATGCATTCGTTTTCTCATCTCATCCCAAGAGGATTATAAATAAGAAGAGCAGAAAAGTTTTCAATTAAACTCAGAGGCAGAAAGTGAGAACTCGAGGAAGCAACAAAACAAACAGCCTGGAGAAGAGAAGGCTGAGTGGAGACCTCATAGCAGGCTTCCAGTATCTGAAGGGCGGCTATAGGGATGCTGGGGAGGGACTCTTCATCAGAGACTGTAACGATAGCAAAAGGGGTGATGGGTTCAAACTTAAACTGGGGAAGTTTAGATTGGATATAAGGAGGAAATTCTTTCCTGTGAGGGTGGTGAGGCACTGGAATGGGTTGCCCAGGGAGGCTGTGAATGCTCCATCCCTGGCGGTGTTCAAAGCCAGGTTGGACAGAGCCTTGGGTAAGATGGTTTAGTGTGAGGTGTCCCTGCTCATGGCAGGGGGGTTGGAACTGGATGATCTTAAGGCCCTTTCCAACCCAAACTATTCTCTGGTTCTATAAAACCAGAGAGCAGATCTGGTCAGACCCTGTGGTACTGTGAGAATCATCCACCAGAAGCCAGCTTTCAACCTTGCAGCTTCAGGCACTGAAGCAACTTGATGATGGATTTGTAGCTAGAAGATAGGGACGGAATCCTGTGCGTAGAGGGGTTTGAAATGAAACAGTGCACATACACAAGCAGAACAAATAGCCTGGCAAGTAACTGATAGTGTATCATAGGTGCAGATCAATTACACTGATTTGTATCTTCACATTGTTAAGAGACCTATCGCTGAACCTACATCAGCCCCAACACCCCACCATCCAGAGCCAAGCGAACGAAGAACGCTGAGCTTAGAGGTCCACAAGAAGCTCACACACTGCAGAGATGACTCAAATGAACCAGGACTTCAAGCAGCCCTGCCCTGAAAGCCAAGAGCTTTGACTTGAGAAATGCACCTTTTAATCTTTACCACGAGAGTAAGCTCAGTGAAGGGGATGCTCGCTAGCACTGAGAAGGATGAGAGAAACAGTGATGAGAACGTGCACACGTGGTCTGATCTCCCAAACCCTGGAGTGCCAAGTTATGCACAAGTTTCCGTTCTCCTGGAAAGCAAAGGTAGTGGAGAGCTTTCAAAAGGCACTGTGGGTCTGTTAGGGAGCAATATGTTTCAGACAAGGGAAAGGCACAGGAATAAGAGACCAAGCAGCTCGACAGGCACTTTCATCTCCTACAGAAACATATGTTAAGTGTGTTCCGGGTCTTGAGATGACTTTCATATGCCTGCAGAAACCCCCAAATTGTCAGAGGGAGCTTATTCGTCACAAGCCCTCTCTGTGCTCCATCGTGTTCGTTCCAGACACGGAAACAAAACCAGGAGAGGAAAACCCAAATTACAAAGACATTTAAAAAGCAGAGGAAAAACTGAAAACTGAAGGCTTCTGTACTTGGGCACATTTCACTCCAAAGTGGCTCAAGTCAACTGAGTTTACAAGACTCGTGGCAAGGCTGGAGAACGCTGACAACCTGCATAGCAGCTCCTCTCGTGTATCTGGGGGCTCCTGAGGAAACAGAGCTTGGATGAAGGGCTCGAACGGATGCCTGTGCAAAAGCAGGTTCATACCTGACTAAGCAACTGCCCATGAAAAATGGTGTTCACCACCTTCAGGACCTGCTTGGTGAGCTTCCTCTGCGAGAAAGGGATGAGGATCCTGCGCTTCGTTCCTTCCGACTCCAGCTCCTGCTGCACTTTATCCAAGAGCTCGCAGAGAAATTCCTGAGCGTCCTGCTGATCGTACCCTCGGAACGCCGGGATCAGGCTCCACACAGAGTGCAGCATGGCAAAGGGGGACACGAGCGCCCACTTGCCAGACCACATCACTCTGAAGAGGGTGTGCAGTTCGTGACACAGGGAGATGTGCTTTGAGCTCGGCTCCTTGGGCTGTATCAGTTCCAAACTCCTGCTTATGGAGGAGCCACCATTTAAGCCAGCTGGCAAGCTCTGCGTGCCATATGATCCCACTTTGTCAGTCTTCCCTGCCTCGTTAGCAGCAGCCCCGTTTGCCAACCTGCCGGGCATCCTGGACTTGCCATTCACAGTTTTAGCCAAGAGCTCTTCCGTTTCACAGAGATCGAGCGTCAGAAAACATTCTCTGAACTTCTGGAGGTGACTCAGCACTTGCAGGATGGAATTCATGTAGCACGTGTTCCCCAGGTTCCTCAGACCCGTCACCCCGGGGGTCATGAGCGGCTTGCGGCGGATGGAATAGAACTGCTTCAATCTGCTGCTCTGCATCTGCCTTGAGGTAGGGGAAGCGGTCGCCACCTCCCTGAACTTCCTTGGAATCAAGCTCTCCCTGCGCACGTGAGACAAGAGCCTCGCGCTCTTCCTGGGAGGGGCGTTCGCCAGCTCCTCCAGGAGCTGCCTCTTCATCTCCCGCCGCCGCTGCCTCGCCGCCTCCTTCTTCTTCTCCAGCTCTTCCCTTTGCTGCTTCTCCCTTAGCTTCCGCTGGCCCCTGGAGCTCTTCTCGAACCAGGTCCGCAGCGCCTTCGCCAGCAAGGACTGGCGCCTGTGCCAGAGGGCTGTCAGCATCTGAGACTGTCCCTGAGGGCTCCTCTGATGGCCGCACACGTCCTCCCCCAAAGCCATCGACCGCAGCGTCCTGCCGCTTCTTGTGGATGGGTCATGCTTTTGGCTTTTAATCGCTGACAGGGAACTTCTCAGCAGTTTCAAATCACCCTCCGGGTTATCATTCAAGACATAATCTTCACAAAGGTAACAAAAGACGTACAGGTCATTCACTTCCATGGCCAAGGGGTGCCTGGTTTCTTCAAAGTGTTTAAGTGCATGCTCCTCGATGTACCTCCCGCAGGCCACGTGGGAGCACTTCAGGCAGGCCCAGATGGACTCCGTGGTCTGGCAGTCCACGCAGTGCCACTTCTGGGGGTTCAGGATGGAGTGGTCCTGGGCGAGTCGTAGCCGCCCAACATGTTTGCATCTATCCATGTCTTACGGAAGTCTTCGCTGCTTTGACCTTGGAAGGCAAAAAGACAGAGAGAAAAGGGGCTTAGAGCCACGGCACACGTTTAAAACCATCTCTTTCGTGCTGGCTGTAAAGACCTATAAAAACACAGATGTTGAATCTTGTCAGTCTCAACCTCAGTTTTCCCTCAAGCAACTCCATTATTTCCGTGGGCAGTTTTCAGTACCAGCCAAAGAGACTGGATTGACAAGGTCTACAGCATACAACTGTCTATCTGCCTATGAGGGACAGCCCAGCCAGCTGCCAGCACGCCTCACCCAACCTGAATGGCTCGCTTCCAAGGAGAAAAAGATTAATTCAGTCCACACGCACGCTTGATCTTTAGCTGCCCTCTTGAAACTGATACATGCAAAATGAATTTGGAATGGGAACGCATGTCATCAGGACCGGGCTGAGGTTACTAACTCCTTGCAGAAGCCACAAAAACACCAGATAATTGTCATAACCAGAGCATTTGCAAGCCTGCAGGCTCTCCGTTCTACCCTGGAATTCTCTCATTCCCCACAGCCTCCCAAACGTTCCAGCCTTTAAAAAACATCAGGAGGGAATGAAAACTGAAACGGGCTAGAGTGAACCTAAAGGAACATCTGCAGGTGTACACGCTTCCAGGAGCACACAGACAGAGAGAAGGCAACTGATTTACTGCACTGTAACTGAAGAGAAATCAAAGCAGCGCTATTAGAAGGTGCAGAAAGCTTTTACTCCGTGTCCTGTACCCACGCGCTTTCTAGGAGATGCTCAGATGTACAAAGAGCACAAGTGACACCGCGGCGTCTTTGTATGCTCCCTCCAATGCTCTGATCCAAGGGAAAGAGATGAGGGCACAGCTACTCACGGAGTCCTGTTCAAGCATCCTTCCCCCCGTGCCGCCGCAGCCCGGGCACGGAACATCCCCATCGCAGCCGGAGGAGTCTTGGCGGATCTTCGGGAATTTAATTACTACTTAAGTCTTCATTGTAAGGCAGCGCAGCTTCAAAGCCCTAGAGAGAGGATATTCGTGTGATGCACAGAAACAAACTGAGAGCGCTGGCAGGGCTGCTCTGGAACAGGATTAATCCCCTCGGTGCAAGAGCTACTGCGGAGAACGCGCTTACTCCAGAGACCGGAATGCTCTGGAAGTTGAAGCCGGAGCGCACGGAGGAACCCCAATGGAAGGGGCCCTGTGGAATTTCATCTTTCTGCTTTCATTTCCCCATCATCTATAAACCTGCTGGTCACGTGCAGCCTCTTCACCATCAGCCTTTTGTAGCGGATGACCCAGCATATGGCAGAGAGAAGATGTGGAGTTCAAAAAGACGGAGCGCAAACGTTGCACCTCCTGCGATCACTGACTTGGTGAAAGCAGGAGGGGAGGAGACGGGGTGGGGGAAAAGGAGGCAAAAAAGCTGTCCTGAAATATCCAGTATCAAACAATAGAAAGGAAGTAATGAATAGTTGTTAAGTGTGAACTGCAACAAAGAACTGCGGGGGAAAGAGAGGTAGGAAAAGGCAGAACTGATTGCAAACCCGTATCTGTTGTAATAACCCAAGAAAGACTAAATTAACTCACACACCTACAGCTTGAACGCAACACGGAGCACTGACAGGAGAGACAGCGAGAACAGGCACAAAGTGGTTACAGATGTCACAGAGAGCGTCAGAGCCGGCACATGGATTACGTAGTTAAAAGGAATCACTCTACAAGGAGCAAAGTTTAACGCAACGGAGGCTGTGGCTTCCCCAGAGACAGCTATGGGGCAGCTGCCCCTATCTGACCAGGCCAAGCAAACCTATCCTTAGTGGCCTTCAAATCATGCAGGTTTACTTTAATTCCTATCTTCTTCCAGTGACATTGCTGCTAAAGATGGAATCTGTTCAGGAAAAATCAAAGCTCTTCTGTTCTTTAACTCTTCTCGACTTCACATTAGAGCACAAGTGGCCACTTCAGCATTCCTCTCCATGGAGGGATGAGCAGTGTCGAAATAACCCTTTCCGCTGGTTAGCTGGAACGGTTCAAGCAGCTCTGCACCTCTCCTTTGGGCCGAGTCCATCCCCTCCCAAATCCTCAGGCCTGGAAAGGCGCTTTTGGAAATCCCACACTAAACAAAGGGCCGATTTGGTCTCCAAGTTGGAACCGTCCCTTCCCACCTCCCTCTCACCTTTCTCCCCGAGCTTTTTTCTCTCCTCTTTCTCCTTTATTTTTGTGTCCAGGTCTTGATGGAAAATTATGGCATAACCCCGTCTAGCCTTGGTGAGACCAAGTAGCGTAGATTCCAGCTTGAAAGAGTATAGACACTATGGTAACATTGACAGCCTTCATTTACATAAAAGAATACTAATTATGTTGTATCATCAACATCTGTGATTCTGCTCACTGCCATATGCGACAGGGTTGGGAATTTAACCCTTGAGTCTCACCAGGAGAGCTGAGATTTGTGCTGCGGAACAAAAACTGGGCCTCTGAAAGAACCATTTCCTAGAGGCTGATGGAATCCCTGCCAAGGGAGGTCACCCACCAGCCCTGCAAGGGCTCAGGACACCGCACGTTCCGAGCGCACTGAATTCAGCTTCAGGTTCCAATGCTGATACGTTACTGGTTTCAGGTGGGTAACAGGCTACGAGGAAATCAATCACACACCAGATCCAGTGCATTAAAGAATCATGTTTAACAATGAAGTAGGCTGGCACTATATAAATCACAAGCCTTTTGTCAACTGCTTTTGCTTTTCCTGTGTGGGCCAGCAAGATTTCCTGTTTGAAGAGGAAAAGAGATCTTAAGAGCGTTGGTGGGTTAACAAAGCAGCTTTGTTACACCTTAATTTGGTAATTCTCAGCACAAAAGCATCTTTGATGCTGCCTGTGATGTTCCCCACCTGTTTCTCTTCAGGTATCTATGGATTATGGATACTTCCCTTGCAAATCTAAGCCTCAATACCATATACACCCAGGTGAGAAACAGCATTTATTTAACCTAAACCGCTTCAGTGATAGCTCTTTTCAGCTTCCTCAGACAAGAGGAAACCTGTTTGGCATCAGCAGGGTTGGCTGTGGAGCATCTGCATCACTCAACCATCAGTAAAACTGGCTCTCCCACACGGCGGGTACTAAAGGCAGCTGGGGTGCCTCAGGGTCAGCCCTGCCATCCTGCTGCAACCACTGAACACATCACGGGAAGACATGATGAAGAACCAAATCTGTTCCTCTCTTTTCCATAGGTAAACAAACAGCTTGCCCCAAGCTAGCAGCGAGAATAAAGAGAACTCCCTGCCAGGAGAAACGACAATGCTACAATGGAAGGAAAGCCCAAAGATGAGTCAGAACCTGTAAACAGGCAAAGGGGAAACAAACCCTGGCTGGAGCTATTCAAGATCCTGCAAGGAGTGAACACAGCTTGGATGAACACAAAAACGTGGACACAAAAACGTGGTTGCTGTGAGAAGCCATGAACAACAAGAGAGTTTAAGGATGGAGAATTAACACCTTACATTTGTCTGGAAGCAAACAAACTGAATCTTCTCTTTGCAATTCCAGTATTCCAGGTTTCTTTCTTGGGTTTACACTTCTTTTTTTCCACCAGGGTAGATCTCATTTTAAACAATAAACTTCTCCTTTCTCACATACTTAGCACTTTCCTTTCCCAGATAAGGGATGGGGGAAGGAAAAGAGGGCAGGAGGAACAACTTAACTGCTCTGCATGGAGAAGCAGCTTGAAGCTGCACTGCAATACAGCTAAAGATGGGTTAAACTTGCCGTAAAGTAATAGGAAATAAAAGCAAACTAAGGACACGGGTTTAGCCAGCAATGGTTTAGAGACAATTTGAAAAGCTCTCACCTTGCAAATCACGGTATTTAAACACTGGGTCAAACCCTACTTTCTGTTCTTGCATGGCTCGTAATCATGGAAAAACTTATGGCGAGATCCTGTAACAGCTTCAAGAACCAAACGCAGCCGAAACAATTTGGCTCTTGACCCTGCAAGAGTGTTAAAATAAAACACATGACTTTATTATGCTTCTTTGTGCCATTCTTACACATTTTGGAGCTGATTAAAGACATCTGCACGGATCTGTCGACACTCGCTACTTTCTTTTCCTAAGTAAATGTGCATGAAGCAAAGAGGGAAGTTCAGGGATCAGGAAGGGCGCTGGATGTTCAGCTGAGGACACTGGAAGTGGCTTTCATTTGTCCAAGAGCTGATTCCAGAACAAGGAGAAGGCTTTGGTGCTGACCCAAACTCCTGTAAGCTGCAGCCTGGAAATCATCTCTAAGGCCAGGAGGGGGGCTCAGCCTGAATGGTTCTTTCATTCACACCTTCAGCCCTCCTCCGGGGGTGGCAAAAGGGAAACATCTCACCAGGCCAAGGGCAATGGGTGCCACATTAGAGCATGGCTGCCTTTTATCTTCCTTCACCTTTTGTTTTAAAACACTGTTGGAAAAAAAACCACCCTTCGATATTCTTGCTCTCTATCCCCACAGAAACCTACTGCACTGGAGCAAATAGGTTTAAAAATCCTGGATGCAAAAAGCCAAACACCTTCCCCTCTCTCCCCATTTAGGAGCAGCGGTGGAGGATGTCTACCCTGCTGCAAACACTCCAAAAAGCAGATAAAGAGATATCGGAGAGACTCGACAGCTAAAAATCACAGATAACCACTCAAGAACTGTATTCCTCTGATTATTTAACCCACCCACTTGTGAGGAACCAATTCCTCAACCAGCTGCCTAATGAAAACACGGATTCGGAGCTGTGTGGAAGATGGGAACAAAAAGTTCCTGCTCAAGACCTTGGTGCTCCTCTGCCAGCGAGAGCCCTCTGTGTCCACGCAGCAAACCTGCATTTGCCTCTCCAAGCCACTGGCAATAGTGCTTTGTCAAACACGAAACCTCTCGTCATTGATAACTCCATTAGAGAAGAGGAATTGCTGCGTGAAGGAATGAGTTCCACCAGCGCATCACCTCAGCAGGTATCCTGTATCCTTACAGAGCCACTGCATGGAGCAAGGAAAACAGCCAGGAAAACATGCAAGAAGCTCTTTCTGCTTCTCTTTCTCCTAAGAGCCATCAGCTTGCCTGGGCAGGAATGGGTTTCTCCCTTCACTCCTCTGGTTCAAACCCTTTCAGACTTTCAAATTGCATCTCCAAAGGGTAACAAGAGCCCTGAAGACTTTTTCAATTATTCTGAAAGCATATTTCCTTGGAAATTGTCAGCTTCCTACCCTCCAGTTGCTGGATTCCTCCTATCCAGGCTGACATTCCATCAAGTCAGTTACAGGCAAATTAACACAGCTGACAAAGGGGAAAAAAAGAAGGGAAGACACAGGAGGAAGAGTCAGAGATGAGTCAGGATTCGGTGTTTCATTGAAGAGGCAGCAAAGCAATGAATTAAACAGCTCCCGTGAATCCATGAATTAACCACAGTGTAAAAGACAGATGACAAGACAGGAGACAGGAGCTATGACAGCAGCAGCAGTGGCTGCTCCCATCTCCCTCCCGGCCAGCATCACCCTCCTCATCCCAACACACACAAACCTCCCACCTTGATCCAAAGCATCCTGAATTCCACAGCATCTCCCCTGGGAGCTGGCTGGTGTCCTATGGGAATCACAGCAAGCTCACAGGACTTCCACTGGTTCCAGCCATTCCATACAGGCACCGGAGGACATCCTCCCACCCCCTTCTGCTGTTCCAGCTCCCAAGCTATAATCACAAGGGAGCTTGACGAAAATGTGACTTCCCTGCCAACTTCCACAGCGAGTTCTGGTTTATTAACTCCTTTAAGTTAATTATAACTATGTCAATGTGATGCTGTTTCTGGGAGCTCGCAGCGCGCTGTAAAGATGTGCTCTAGGCTCAAGGCTGGAATCTCAGGAATCAGTTTGCAAAGAAAGGTCCAATTATTGCCAAAAGAAACCCCCCAACCAAGCCCAAAACCCTCAGAAACCACAAAGCACGAGGATGAAGAAAATCTGGCATCCTTGGTGGGAGAGGACATGACTTCTGCAGGACTTTGCTCTCGGCATCGTCTTGGGATGCTGAAGTTAGTGAATACTGGCCCGCAGCTCATTTTACAGTACAAGGAAGGGCACAGGCACTGTGGTGTGCTGAGTACAATTAGCTCCCAACACGTCACACTCACAGCAAAGCCAACAAGGCTTCAAAGGGCTCCAATTTGTCCCTAACACCAACCCACCCACAGAGATTGAGCATCCTCCCTATGAAGTTCTGTTCACATGGATTTAGGGGGGTAGCTGAGACAAGACAAGTGTTTGCCTTCCATTTAGAGATGTAAATGTCCCAAACCTACCAAACCAGAGATGTTAACATCCCAATTCCATAACACACCAGGAAGGGAAAGCTTAGCGACGCTACACCTCCCTGCAGATACATACTCTCTTTACCAGAGGCTTGCTGGCAAACTCCAACCAAACCCCACCAAACTCCTTTAGTTTGGTTCAAATACATTTATGGACTAGAATCAATTTATGACTACACCAAAAGCCTTGGCATCCTCCAAGAGCAGTAACTCAGACTTAATACAGGCCAACAAAGAGTTGCAAATGTGCATCTGTCTTCTATCCACATTCCTTCCTGATGAAGATCCTCTTACAACAAGAGCCAGTTCAGCAGTCATGAGGGATGGAGCTGGCAGTTTATGGTTTGAAGATAAGCATGGAAGGGCAAAGAGAAGGGGAAATCCTTCGGCTCACAAAGCACTTCCATACAGCCCCCCTCAGGAACCAGCCAGGAGGTGATTTGTGCTGCCATCCACGTTCTCCAGATGTCCAAGTTTAAACTTGGACGTTTTAGAGGCACGTTAAAGATGAAACATGAATATTCTTATTAAGCCAAACTCCCTGTTTCTCATCTAAGTGCAAGAGATGAATAAAACCAAGTGACTGAAGGCCTAGGTGGAGCCCCCACCTATCTCAGTTTTCACCTTCAGCTTCAAGAGCAGCTTTTCCACGTGCAATCCAACCAATCCTATTTATTCCTTAGGGTCACCATACACCAAGCAAACAGAAAGATGCACGTCCTGCAAGTCCCTGGGAATGTGGGAAGTCACAACGTAACAGCCCTGGATGTTAAAGAGCATTATTAAAATGCTATATACTTCTTAGTTCACGGCTTTCCAGAAGTTAATGTTTCCTCATTTATGGCAGTACATAAAATTCTCCCTCTCCTTTCTTTTCAGAAGCTTCCCAGCTTTTGGTTTTGGCTTTTGGAAGCGTTAATAAGCTGGGAAACACAACATGGATACACCATATAAAAGGGGAACTCACTGTGCATGTAACCAATCCACAGGATAGCCTAGTGCTGGTGCACCAGTCCAAAAGGGAAAGAGCCAGTGCAGGAATTCCAAAGGTACTTACAGCCGGAGAAGCCTGGAGCAAATACAGGCAATTTGAATTGTCAGAATCAAGCAGGAAAAAGCTGGTTTGCATTAGGACAGTCTGAAAGTGGATGGTAACTGCCCCATATAAAGCAATCATTTCATTTTATGAGTCAAGCAACCAGCTTGATAGAATCCATGAATCCCCATCCAACTATTTCCTTACTTGTGACAACCGCAGACAGGGACACACCAAAGCGTTTTAGAGTCTCCTGTGTGTTTGCTCCTGAAGAACCTCTCTGCTCGAGCACACAGTGACAGAGCTGTCATGGATGCAAAATCAGGGGCACCGACTCCAAGCCAAGAGCTCTACATCCATTTTCACTATTGGGAAATCCAGGTTTTAGGCCCCACCACCCCAAAACTGCAGGGATTCACACCAAAACTGAGTTCTTTTTGCTTGCTTTCTCACTCAGCACTGCCCAGCTCGGTTTGCATTCAGGCTTAGTGAGAGTGTTCAAATGGCCAAGGACACGCTCACGTACTCATGGGTCAGGACCTGGGCAGACGTGAACAAGGCACCCTAGGAATAATTAACAACGAGCCATGCTCTGGTTCAATGTGGCTAAACAAAGCAGGAAGAGAAGAGAGAAACAGGCATTCTCTGGTGCCCCCACTTTCCTTACCTTATTATTACCATGGCCTACTACAATGCAGCCAAAAAGCCCCATTTTGGGGGATGCAGAAAGCATTATTCTTTTGACCAGACTCCTCAAACATTATTTTTCCCATTCAGTGTCTATCAGATTTCTCACCACCAGTCACATAACCCACATGCTCCGAGTCGAGGCTCACACCAGCAGCTCAGAGATGTTAAAAACACTCAAACCCACACTCTCAACCTTTGATAGGGAAAATCCCGCTCCCTTCCCACCTGCCTTCACATGAACACCACCAGGTTAAACAGAACTTCCCACTGCTGGCAAAGAGCTTCGTTAGCACAGTCAGAACTGGGTGCGTTCTGACCGATGGTACCTTGCTGCATCCCTCGCATCGCTCACAAACCCCAATCGCTTCTGTTATCAAAAGACAGTTATAATAAACCAAATGTGCTTATAATAAAACAAGTAAGATGCAGTTACAATAACCCAAACCCATTGCAGGGGGACGGGGTGAAGTTTTGGAGCTCCAACGCGTCAAAGAAGCCTCCTGCTGCTGCTCACATCACCACGGGTGGCTGCAGCACGGATCAGTTGAAGAGCCCCAGCATTCAGCGGCAGCGTAACAGCCTCCTCGAGGATCTCTTTGTGATCGACACAAAGACGGATCATACCAGAGAGTGAACACTTGGTAAGTTATGGGGAGTCCTCTCCTGTTCTTCCTCCCCCGTTTTAATTCATATTCATCTTGGCAAAATCTTAAGACAGACTATTAACTAATCTAAACCAACATCACAGCTGATACAACACATAAAGCAATCAGTCAAACGAACATGTCAGTGCCATCTACTGAGGCAATAAAGAACGAGACAACCCCAGCAGGCTGTGCCTTATTATCTTCACAGCCATAATGAATAGGCAAATAGCATTAAATATAAGTACAGTATTCACAGCCACATTTTGCAGTGTTTGAAGCAGGAAAGGTGCCTCCGATACGTTTGAGGAGCAGAGATTACAAGGAGCCAGAAATAACGAGGGGTTTTGACACAGCTCTCCATCATTTCCTTTTCCTTCTCTTGCCAATCAACTACTATTAGGTCTTTGAGGAGTGAAACAGAGCAGCAGCTAGAAAATTCTCTATGGGTTTTAATGCATGCTGTTAACTGGTAAATGGAGTAACCCACAGTGACCAGTGTAGCCAAATGCAGCAAGGACTTGCTCTGCCAACAAACCCCAGGCATCAGCCCAAGATGCTCCATAGTATTTATCTGTGTAGCATCCATGAGCACTGCCACATCCTTGGCTCTAGAAGCAGCAAACGACCTGACCC